CACACACACACACACACACACACACACACACATTAAAAAAAAAAAAATTAAACAGGCCCTGAGTTTGTATTCTTAACTGTGTAATTGTTACCATGTACTAAATGTTACTGGTCTTTTCCTAGAAATTAAAACGACATGTTGGGCGGGGGAGATGGCTCAGTAGAACAAGCGCTTGCCTGGCAAACACAAGGGTCTGAGTTCAATCCCCAGTTCTGCCTAAAAAATAAAAATAAAGCGACATGTTTATTAATTCTGTTTCATGTCTTTCTGTCTGAGATAGAGTTCACCTCCAGGTCTGTCCACAGGTCATTGTTCTTTTTTGGAGGGTGGAACCAGGACTTGAACTCAGGTCCTTCCGCTTGGCAGCAAGCACTTATTCTACTGTGCCATCTCCCCAGCCCCCACAGTTCATTTTTCTTTGGGGATTTTTTTCTCATTGGTTTGGTTTGATTTTTTGGAACAGGGTCTCGCTATGTATTCAAGTCTGGCCTTGAATTTGAGGTGATCCTCCTGCCTCAGTGTCACAAGTTTGGGGGTTACAGGGATGTGCCACATACCCAGCTTCACAGTTCATTGTTCTTACCTAGATTCTCACAGTATAAGCCACTCTCATATGCTGAAGACTCCCACTCTTGGACTAACCTAATGTTTCCAGTTCTTACTCATGAAGTTAGGATTGTTACTGACACCTGTACAAGAAGATCGTGCCAGATGTCCAAATTCTCTGTTTGAAACTCAAGTTACTTCTGTGAACTGCCTCACCGTCGAAGGATGAAGCCTTGTTCATCATGAGACAATATTTACGTGGAATACATCCTCTTTGAACCCATTTCTGGAAATAAATGGTCCTGAGTCTTAGGGACAGCAAGTTGGAACTGTCTATCAGACATCAACCTGGGCTGGGGAGATAGCTCAGCATTGGCATAAGCACCTGCCTGGCAAGTGCAAAGTCCAGAGTTCGATCCCTAGTATAAAAAATAAAAAAAATAAAAACAAAATAAAAACAAAAACAAAACAAAAAAAAACACACCAAAACAGGGGCTGGGGAGATGGCTCAGTGGAATAAGCACTTCCCTGGCAAGGGCAAGGGCCTGCGTTCAATCCCCGGTTCTGGAAAAAAAAAACAAAAAACAAAAAACAAGAACACATCAACCAAAGCCTTGTTTTGGGGGTGGAGTTGGTCTTTTCCTAAAATGTAAACTGTACTTATATTTTAACGCAGTTTTATACTTTGTATTTACCTCAAATGACCAGCAGGGGGCAATAATCTTTTACATTTTTGCTATATTGTTGTGCTCCTGAACAAAGGCTGGATTAGGGCATTCCCAAAACAGAATGTTCAAGGAGACCAGAAAAATTTAAATGTTGGGAATCATTTGAGAATACTGGTGTGTGTGTAGGGGGGCTTTTGCCCCACCAATCAGGATGCAAGGTCTAGTTAATCATAGAGACCCCTTATGACCTTGAGCATGTCCTTTCTTTCCTCTTTTGGTTCATTCTGTTATCTATAAAGTAAGGGCCAGGTGGCTCATGCCTGTAATCCCAATTCTGGGAAGGCTGAGGCAAGAGGATTGCCGTGAATTTGAGGAAAGCCTGGGTAACATAGTGTGTTCAAGACTAGCCTAGAGATGGTGTGGTGGCACGCGCCTGTAATCCCAGCTCTTGGGAGGCTGTTAACAGGTGGATCAATACGAGTCTGATCTAGTAGTGAGACCCTGGACACCCTGTAGACCCTTCTCTAAAATACAAAAGAAAAAAGAAAGACCAGCCCGAACTGGCCCTGGCCAGATAGCAAAGCCCTGTCTCAACGAAAAAAAAAAAAAGAGGGGCCGGGGAGATAGCTCAGTAGAATTAGTTCTTGCTTGGCAAGCACAAGGGCCTGAGTTCAATCCAGTTCCACCAAAACAAACAAACAAAAAAAAAAAAGAAAGAAAGAAAAAGAAAAAAAAGAATAATAATAATAATGAAAAGGGAGGGGCCGGGAGATGGCTCAGTAGAATAAGCGCTTGCCTGGCAAACGCAAGGGTGTGAGTTCAATCCCCAGTTCCACAAAAAAAAAAAAAGAAAGAAAGAAAAGGGGGCGGGAGAGATGGCTCAGTGGAATAAGCGCTTCCCTAGAAAGCGCAAGGGCCTGAGCTCAATCCCCGGTTCTGCCCCCCCCCCAAAAAATAATAATAATGAAAAGTCTAGGAATGTAGCTCAGTGCAATGGACCTGGGATCAATCGCCAGTACTGCAAAAATATAAATAAACAAGGATACAGCTCAGTGTAAAGGACCTCTGGGTAAAAAGGAAGGAAAGGAAAAAGTTGTGGGGTTCGGGTGTAGCTCAGCATTTGCCTAGCATATAAAATGCTCTGGAGGCCAGGGAGGTAGCTCAGGAGCACAGCACTTGCCTGGCAAATGCAAGGTCCTGAGTTCAATTCCCAGCATTAAAAAATGAATAATGGGCTGGTGAGATGGCTCAGTGGTCTAAAGCACCTACTTAGAACAAACTAAGACAAGCAAAGCACAGGGACCGCGGTTCAATCCCCCAGCACCACATGCCAGCCAGCCCTGCCCCCTGGTGGGCTGAACTGGCCACACACACACACAAAATAAATAAATAAATAAATAAATAAATAAATAAATATTAAAAATAAGTAAAAAATGAATAATATGGGACTGGGGAGATGGCTCAGTGGAATAAGCACTTCCTGGCAAGTGCAAGGGACTGAGT